CTAAAAAGACAGTAGCATCGGTCACCCAGAGATTAGTCCTCTTCATACGCAATAGGTCATTCCTGTCTATCATTGTTGCCTTGTCATCCATTACAGTCCCTCTAAGCAGCTGCAGGCTTGATGACCATGTTGTTATAATACCATCCTGTAATAATAAATGATGACATATCAGAGATCTACTATACCAATGCATGATTCTTATTACCCTTGATATGCTTAGGTATCTCGATGGTGGAAAAAGATGCAAAAGTCTGCAAGGACATTGCTGGAGAAGAAACAAGTTATAAATGTACACATGTGACAGGATCTAGTAGGCTCACTTTACCTTTGAGTACAAATTATGCTTAAAGTCTGGTGAATCTTGAAAGGGGAGTGGCTTGACTGTCCGAAAAGCTTCCCTCTCTCTTAGCTGGAGCAATAAGTACGACATTAATTTATTTTCAGTGACATAGCCATCATTCTCAATGTCAACCTATAAAGAAAAGAGAAGGGTATGAAATGAAACATTATAAAGTGCCAAGATAGGCTTCTTCATTATCACCTTCCTGCAAAGTGCAGAAAGTCTTTCATCTAATGGTGAGACTTTCATCATTCCACCCATTAATTCCATGAAATCCTCCATTTTCATTCGTCCTCTGGAGCATTTTTCTGCATGAAATAATGAAAGAAGCTCAGAGAGGCTCTCTTCATTCAGTAGCTCCACAAAACAAGCCACAATGCTGCAGGAAGAAAGAGAGAGAGAGTGTGTGTGTGTGAGAAGAGAAAAGAGAGGAGAGAAAGTAATAAACTAAAGGTCAATTGGCCTGAGGTAGGTATAACTGTTGCTTACTCTGCCTCGCAATCCATTTTCTTCTGCTCAAAAGTTCGAAAGAACCAAAACAAATGGAAGCAAGTTATTGTGAGTGGGCGTTTCCTGCACAAAAATGGGTGGGGCTGAGTGGGTGTGGTTAATACTAAATCCTGATTGTTCCCCAATTTCTAGAATGGATGAATCTATGAACACAAACATTACTGAACCAGGCTTCAGGAATGGGAGCAGTAGCTGTGAAGAAGACGATGAAGAAAGAAAGGACTTGATACCTTCCTCCTTATCGCCCCCCAAGGACAAATACAATATGATATACATTATTATGTTTATCCTCTCTCTTGGTGTCCTCTTCCCCTATCAAAGTTATGTGGCAGGGCTAGACTACTTCACTTATCTTTATCCCAGTTATAAACCTGAGCTAGCACTACCACTGAGCAACATTATAGCTGCACTTCTTTCAATCACAGTTTCCATTGGGATCATCAATTATCTATCAATTTCATTCCGACTAAACATTGGCTATGTTTTTTTCATAATCTGTTTATCAACAGTCCTGTTATTGGATATCGGTATAAATAACTGCACGATTAGTACTGAGACTGGTTTCGCATTAACATTGCTCTCTGCGTTATTTTCAGGATTTGGTGGAGGAAGTGAGTCTATTTATAGAGAGCGTTTGAAACACTCAGCCCTTAATTTGCATTCATGACACATGCTTGGGGATGATAATTTAATAATAATTTTTTATCTTATAGTTCAACAGAGCACTTTATATGGCTTAAGTGGAATGCTCCCGGAGAGATTCACTCAGTGCCTCATGTTTGGAGAGGCTGCTGCTGGATCCATTGTGGCAATAAATAGAATAATAACTAAAGCATCGTCAGGATCAGAAAGAACAGGGACTCTTATTTTCTTTAGTATTTCATTATTTTTCATTATCGCCTGTGTCGGACTTCAATTTGTGCTGCGGAAGTCGCCATTTGTGAAGTATTATTTCGCACAAAATACATCAAAAGAGAACAAGAGGTTTGAATTAAACTGTAGATCTATAAAGAACTGCCAGTGCTTGAAGAGAAGAGACTCTGTTGACACTATTCAACTAACACAGATTGGAGAGAAACAGGAAGAAGAGGAGGAAGATACAACTTCAAAATATGAATTTAAGAATCAATTTAAGAATCATTTAATCGGTAAAATTTAAAGACTGTTTAAATTTAATATCAGTTTTTTTCCTTTACAGATGGTTTGGTGTTCAGGTACAGAATACTAAAGAAAATATGGCAGCCATTCATTAGTGTGTTTCTAATATTCTTTGTAACACTCCTAGTGTTTCCAAGCATAACATCAGACGTACAGTATTGTAAAATTGGAGACTGGCCAATTGTCATTCACACATCCCTTTTTAATTTTGCTGATACTATTGCAAGAGTAAGAAGAATTAGAGGAAAAGAGAATGTATTATTTATCTATTAATTCCGTTTGTTCTTACAACAGGCTTTATGTCTCTTACCTTATCGAGTTAGTCCAAAGTCATTGCTAATAATATCAATCCTG